ACCACGCAGCAGGGACATCGACACCGGGTCACAATGATCCACCCCAGAGCCAGGCCCGGGCCCTCACATGTCCACGAAGACCATGAAGCACCAGCCCAGCCCCCCGACCAGCAGCATGGTCACGTGGATGCCATGGATGAGCAGCTCGTTCAGGAGGCGGAAGTCCACGCGCCGGCGGCCGAGCAGCAGCAGCAGCACCGACAGCTTGAGCTGGAAGCGCAGCAGGACGCGCACGCCCAGGTACTGCAGGCAGAAGAGGGCGGCCAGCGCGCCCCACAGCGCGGCCGTGAAGAGGCTGCAGCTGAAGTACAGCAGGAAGCGGATGAAGCCGTAGAGCCAGCGCGCCCGAATGTACACGTCGAAATTGTTGTACTTGGTGCGGGCCAGGCGGGAGGTGCGCGCCGGTCCACAGGCTGCGTGCAGGCAGGTGGTGTGCGGGCCGTGGAAGGAGCGCACCCGCCGGGGGATGGGCATGACCGGCATCGGCGCTAGCTTGCGGCGGTGGCAGCGTCCAGGCGGCGGTCAGCATAGGCGTCATGGGCACCTGGGCCTGGGAGTCTGAGGCTGAGCCCCGGGGGAGGCGTGGGCCTGCAGGGAGAGCGACAAGGGGAGGAGCCAGGTCATCCCGGGACACCAGGGGCTACAGGGAAACCGAGTCTGGGACTTGGGATCTGCTCACACACCTTCCCTCCTCTCACCCCTGGGGTTATTCTGTTTCACAAATGCTACTGAGGATGCTCCAAAGGGTCCCACAATCATGTGAGAACCAAACTGAGAAGAAGGGCCAGGAGAGTGGCCACAAGTCCCCGGAGGCAGTCCATGCCAAAACCGATGAGAAAGGGCCAAGAGAAACCCTGGCTATCCTCAGCCACCCCCAGACTTGGCGAGACTCCCCTTCACTGGACTCACCGTCTGCCTTCTATCTGGAATGCCCATTCCTGGCTGCTCTATCCAAGGTGATTAAGTCCCTGAGTGGCAACCCACTACAGGATCACAGGAGGGAGAGGGAGCCCACAGGGCAGACGGAGCAGTTCTCTTCAGCAACTTGACAGGCCAAGTGCTGGTGACCAGAGAGCTGCGGTAGGGGGCAGGCAGCAAGTACAGAGCTCTGGGCTCACCTGCAGGGCCTGAACCCTGGTGCTGTCATCCACGGAGTGACCTTGGGCAGATCACCTCCCCCTGAGACGGTCCCTGCTCTGCAAAACGGGCACTGGGCACCCAGGGGTGCTGTGAGAAGCTGGTGTTACAGGGCAAGAGCTGCCTGAGGATGACTGCTGATGGCCGGCGGTGTCATCGCAGGGGATGGGGCCCTGTGGACGGAACCACCACAGGGAAGGAGAAACACAAGTGGCTCTCTCGTTTTGCCTAGTAACTGCCATTATAGCCTAAATGATTCGTGGGTGGAGATACAGAACTGGAAATACAGGATGTGTATAATCCGAGCAGCAAAGTTGGTTACAGGCTCCAGGGAGACACTGCCTGAGACATCTGCCTCCGATCACATGGCTTTTAGCCTGGGGGCCTATTGAGGGACTTCTGCTCGCTCCCGCTCCGGCCGCAGGTCGCAGCAAACGGCCGCCCACGTGCAGCTCCGGCCAGAGGTGCAGGCCGGGCAGGTCCACCCTCCCCTTCGCACAGGCCCAGCCCTTCCTGCAGACTTCGGCCAGAACCCGATCTGACAGCAGCTGCTCCATCCAGGCTTCACCTGGTCAGCCCGCCAGCCCCCGGGAATGGCATTCAGACGTCGTTGCTCCCTTCAAGCTGCAGGATCGCAGCCGGCGGCTAGTAGTCGTTCGCCATCCTCCCATCACCACCTGGCCGCAGGCAACGCGTCTACGCCACAGGCTTCCAGGTCGGGGGCGCCGGTGCGGCACCAACGCGCTCACCTCTGGGGGTGCCGGGCTCCCGGCCCCGACCCCAGAGGCAGGACCGACCCGCGGCCCCCCGCGCCCCG